GTTTAGTTGGTGTTTTGGGCCTGTTGGGGGCTTCTGTAATAGCATATTATGCACATGTTAGGGTGCCAAAAGGGCGTCATTCAAGCCCGAATCCGAGCACCTGCTTAATTGGGGGGGGGGGGGGGGGGGGGGGGGGGCCCCCCCCCCCCCCCCCCCGGCAGAATAAGAAAGGCAGGGCACCGCAATAATAGGACCGTGGCATTGTAATGATTCTCTATTAAAAACAGTAGGCTGCAGATTTCTGAGGGGCTGTAGCTTCGCAGCTCAGCAACAAGAAGCCTGCCGACAGATTTTGGAACCCACCTGAAAACATGTTCTTTAAATGTGGTGGTATTGGCCCATACGAAACCCCCCAGTACTGGAAAGTAGTCTTCCGGCGCGCTTCTCGACGAAAACAGTTTCTTTGAATGTGGAGGTAAAAATTAGACAGGTGCTCTGGGTACGTAAAAATCCAAAGGCATCCTCCGTCACGAAGTAGGTGTAGGGTGGGGGTGGTTTAGGGTTTGGGGCTCAGGGTTTAGGAATTAGGGCATACACCACCACTACAGAAATCTGGATAATCTAATATAGGGGCCGGATAGTATTCCCTTATGGTCCCTGTATAAGTATACAGTATACAAGAATTACCCCGCGCCCCCCAAGACTCCATTCTAATCAGTGGGGCCCCAAGTTTACGATATTAGCGATATTAGGGGTACCTTATTGGGGTCCTCATTATCAGGAGATCCTACTATCTGGGGTTGAATATTATTGGTCCCTTAATATCGTAAACCCAACACTCTATCCTAATTATCAACTAACTAGGACCCAGCGTAGGCCCTTATTTCCTTCTTTCAGGGCTTGGGTTCCCTTGCAGCCTCCCTTTTTAAACCAAAAGGGCACCCTTTGCATTCCCAGGTTACTCCTGAGTCTGGGTTTGTTAGGGTAGTTTCATGGGCTCTGAATGTGGTCCTTAACCTCCTCTACAGGGTTCTGATGCATGGGCCTTTCATTTGTATAGGATATATAAGGGGTATACAAGGGAGCCTTTTGCAAGGGCCCAGACTAAGGCTACCCTAAGAGTTAAGGCCCCTCTGCATCGAGCTGATGCTCCCCCGGGCCTGGAGGACCTTCTCGTGCTCCGCGACGGTCTCGGAAACCTTCCAGCGACGGACGACAAGATTCGTAACATCTGAGTCGGCTTAGGGTTTAGGGTGGTTTAGGGGTTAGGGTTTAGGGTTTAGGGTTTACGGGGGCCTTCTCAGGCCCTGCGTTGAATTTGGAGGGCTTTGCACACGCAAGCAGATGGCGAATCCTGGACAATTTTCAGGCAAAGACTCCAGCCCAGGGGGGTTTAGGGTTTAGGGTTTAGGGTTTAGGGTTTAGGGTTTAGGGTTCAGAGACACAGGATCCTACATCCAGCTTGCCGTTGAAACCGTCACGTTGGCCAGAGGGCTTGTCGCAGGCACCCAGAATCCTCGAGCCCTGAACTCCGAACCCTAGGCCCCTAAACCCCAAACCTAAACCCTAAACCCTAAACCCTAAACTCTAAACCCTAAACCCTAAACCCTAAACCCTAACTCAGATGAAGAATCGTGGGGGGGGGGGGGGGGGGGGGGGTGGCACCCTGGGGTCCTGAAGTTTGAGCAAGTGAGGCTTGGGGTCCGGGCGGTGTCCAGGCCTCTCTCCCACAGACTGCCATCCCCTTGAAACCCTAGACCCTAAACCCTAAACCCTAAACCCTAAACCCTAGCCCTAAACCCTAAACCCTCTGGCCAACTGCCTCTCTTTGACTCTAGGGTTACCCCAGCGCTGTGACCGTGGTCTGCCGAGCAGCGATCGACATCGCAGAATCAGCGGATGGCGGCTCCCGAACCCCTCACCTTGTGTAAGTCCGAATCATTAAACCCGAAACCCTAAACCCTAAACCCTAAACCCTAAACCCTAAACTCTAGTTAGTAAGGGATGGAGACACAAACTCAGTGATGAGGGTATCGGGACTACGTTTCGTACTTTGCACTTGGAGGTTCATAAGGTTCAACCCTAAACCCATATCCTAAACCCTAAATCCTAAACCCTTGACCGATTGCATAAATCCTAAACCCTAAACCCTAAATCCTCAACCCTAAATCCTAACCCCTAAATCCTAAACCTTAAATCCTAAACCGTAAATCTCCGGAGCCGACGTCCGCAAAAATAAGAGCTGGTCCCGTGGGCGAATTCAATTCGCAACACGTGCCGCGAATTCAGATGCTTATAGGGTAAAAGGAGGAACCCCTGGAAGGGTTTGGGGTTTAGGGTTTAGGGTTTAGGGTTCAGGGTTTAGGGTTTAGGCCCGATATATATATATATATACATATATATATATATACCTTGTAGTCAGTACATACCTAAGTAACCCCTGAGGTCCCTTATAAGGGTCCCTCCTTTAGTCCCTTGAGATGCAGGTCTGGGTACTGTACTTCGAAATTACATCGCTGCCCCAGAGCCTGTAGAGTTTAGGGTTTAGGGTTTAGGGTTTAGGGCTTAGGGTTTAGGGTCTAGGGTGTAGGGTTTAGGGTGTATGGTTTGCAGGTTCAGGATATAGACCCTTGGTTGACGTCCGACTCCCTGGACCGCGAGGAGTCTCAATGGCGGCGTCGTCTGTGTGAAAAGCAAGAGGGCGAGGGAGCGAGAGATGGGAGAGACAGAGAGATAAAAATGAGAGATTGACAGAGGTGGAGGTCGCCCTTCGGGGGGGGGGGGGGGGGGAGGGATTCTCCGCTGGGAAGAAGAAGAAGAGATGGAGGGAGGGAGAGAGGGAGGGAGGGAGCGAGGGAGCCAAGACTCCTCAAATATGTGTAGGTGTTTCGGGTCCAAGGCTTCGGGTTTAGGGTTGAGGGTTTAGGGTTTAGGGTTTCTGGTTTAGGGTTTAGGGCGAGGAGTGTAGAGCTTTAATTCGGACTTGGCACCTACAGGCGGGCCGCAGAAGTTGCGCCGGAAGCAGCTGACGAAGAGCCCAGTCAACGCATCCACCATGGGCAGGGAAAGCCAAGTCCCCTAAACCCTAAACCCTAAACCCTAAACCCAAAACACAAAGCAAACCTAAAAACCCTAAAAAGCGCGTTTAGGCCTTAATCAGAGCAACCCCAAAGCCTGCCAGGCCGAAGCCAAACCAACCTGGACCTGGGCTTTGCGGGTCCCATCGGGTTTCGGGTTTCGGGTTGACGGTTTAGGGTGCAGGGTTTAGGGTTTAGGGTTCAGGGTTCAGGGTTCAGGGTTCAGGGTTCAGGGTTTAGGGTTTAGGGTTTAGGGTTTAGGGTTTAGGGTTTAGGGTTTAGGGTTTAGGGTTCAGGGTTCAGGGTTCAGGGTTTAGGGTTTAGACCCGGTGATGGCTTGGTTCCCGCCCTGCTGTAGCCGAGCTCTAGGGCAGCAGGCTCTGAGACCCCAAACCACGGTGGGGGCGGGGAGGTCTAGGGTTTAGGGTCCAGGGTCTAGGGTCCGGGGTCTAGGGTTTAGGGTTTAGGGTTTGGGGGGGGGTGTCCCCAAGGCCTTTCAGGAGTTCACGTGGACTTTCTGTAGATTCAGAAGTGGTCTTGTCGGGAGTCTTTTGGCCTAAACCCTAAACCCTAAACCCTAAACCCTAAACCCTAAACCCTAAACCCTAAACCCTAAACCCTAAACCCTAAACCCTAAACCCTAAACCCTAAATCAAGCCTGCAGCTCTTGAGCTTGGCTCCTGAACTAAAAGGAGCTCGAAGAGCTCCCGGAATGATCCAAGCTGCACCCAGCCAGACCCAGTTGAGGCACAGCCTGGGAAAAAATCTGCAACCGAAGCCCTTAGGGTTTAGGGTTTAGGGTTTAGGGTTTAGGGTTTAGGGTTTAGGGTTTAGGGTTTAGGGTTTAGGGTTTAGGGTTTAGGGTTTAGGGGCCCAAAACCCTAGGCCCGATAGACGCTGAACCCTTTGGGTTCAGGCCTCAGACCATGAATCTGTTTAGGTTGCATTTAGTTTCGAAGGTTGGAACCATGGGCCCTTAGTATGGCATTAGTATGGACCCTTACCCTTGTTCAGACGGATCCGAAGTATGGGCCCTTACTATATGGCGTACCTAAGGATTAAATTATGTGAGTGCCCCAAATTAAGGGCCCATACTTCGGATCCCCTATAACTCCCACGTTGTTCGGCTAAGGGTTCAAGCCGTGATTTGGGAGCATTGACTCAGCCTGGGTTTTGGCGTACTATACTTTACTACTTTTTTGGTTCTGGGTTCCTATTCTAGCTGCTTCTACCTAAAGACTATATACTTGTTTTCTAGGGTCTACTCCAAAGCCGGGTGACAGAGGTAAGACCAGAACGTCTCTACAGTTCACTCAGGTCACTGGGTGGTCGAGGGTGTTCCATAGAAGCAACTTAGAGTTTAACCCTAGTCGGGAATAGGTACCCTGTATACATCTGTAAAGGTTACATCCTTAGGGTAGTTTCATGGTCCCTTAATATGGGCCCAGCCCTAACCCTCCTAAACCCTAAACCCTGAACATTGAATCCCAAACTACGAACGCCGCAGCTGTGGCTCCCAGGCAGTAGGGGTTGAGGGCTTTGACAACGCACGCCCCAACATAGAATTTTGTGAGCTACACCTGAACTCTAAACCCTAATCCCCAAACTGGTACCCTACCTGAGAGGACTCTAGGAGTTTCCCCTCAACCCTCCCTGAAGGGAGATCCCCACTCCACGAGCTATCAAGGCATAAGAGCATTGCCCAAGCCCATTCGCTGAGGGTCGACCCAAGACCCGCTCCTGCAAACTTCAGCAGATATGATGCCAGTGAGCATTGCCTTCCGCGTTGCCGGCATGATTGGCCTTTAATATCCTAAACCCCCAAATTAGGATACAAGATCCTCCATTGGCAAGCTAGAGAACCCACAACAAGAAACGTAACACGGCTTGCCGTTGTATTGCCAGGTTGCTGGGTAACTATGGTAAGTACCCAAAAGACAACTTTGCAGAAGACCCAGCAGCTGACGAAGAGCAGTTGCCACCATGAAGGGTGACTCACAGGCAGTTCGAAGTAACCCAAAAACCCGGGGTTTAGGGTTTAAAGTTTAGGGTCAGGCTTGCACAATACTGGGGGTAAGGCTGGGGCCGTTCGAACCCTTAGCTCGTGGCAGGCACGGCTCCACTTACATGACCCTACAAGCGTAAACAGCCGAAGCCCTAAGCCTTAACAACCTTAACCAGAATCCCGAATATTCCTACACCCCCACTCCAAGCCCTAAATCATGGACAGCTTTTATGAAGCTTTGCCAGTTGGGCCGCTGCTCCTGCTGCACCCGCGGGCGCATGCTGCGGCTGCCCCGCGGTGGTGGGAGGTCGGGTCCTTGATACCCTAAACCCTAAACCCTAAACCCTAAACCCTAAACCCTAAACCCTAAACCCTAAACCCTGACAGTTTTGCTTTGGGACTTTGGGCTTGTCTTTCGCAGTTCTAGGGCTTACAGAAATACGGGACAACCGTCCCTTAGCCCCATAAACGGAGTACCCCACACGCCCAACCCCCTTTAAGCCCCTGAAACCGTACACCTCCCGAGGGCTGCCGGGCCCTAAGACACCCCTGAACCGGGTTTAGGGTCTAGGGTTTCGGGCCTAAGGTTTAGGGTTTAGGGTTTGGGGTTTGGGGTTTGCGGTTTAGGGTTTCCCTACTGACACGGGACCAAGGTTTCATCCGAAGAGAACGCCAAGTCGTTGGCGTTGTACTTCGACCGCGAGGCGCGCCTGCTGAGAGTTTTTTTGCAAAGTCTTTTTACAGGGTTTTTGTACGGCCTTTAAAGGGTTTTTTTGGGGGCTTGAGAGAGTTTCGTAAGGGTTGTTAGTAGAGTTTTGTAGGGTTTTTTTTCATAGGTTCTGTTCGGACTTTTGGGAGGCATTGGGAATGTGGACCGCGCTCTGGCAAAGTGCAGCTGCGGCGAGGGAATTCCTGCCCACCAACAAGTTTGGCTTCGGACTCTTCCTTGGCGGTTAGATGTTACATCTCTTGTATACTGCCAGTATTGCATGTTAGCATCTATTGATGAGATACGACGAGTTATATACGAGTATAGATGGTTGTATACTATATTTGTTCTTCCTTTTGTTCTTAGTAGCTGAGTGAGCACACGTTACACATTTTGGGATACTATACTATTTGGGCCCCTCGTGTTGAAGCCGGACGGTTGACCATTGGGCGGCACCAAAAGCAAGCCCACCAATATGGCAAGCCCACTCTAGGCTGCGCAAACCACACGCCAACGCACCGGCTGGGCAGGCACTTGGACTACAACGCTACAACTACACGAAAAAAATGGTCCAGCGGGGCCCTCCCCTTCTCCTAATTAGCCTTGTAAAACCCAAACGGGGTGTACGGTCCCACGCAGAAGAACGGAGGGACCCACCGGGTCCCACCGATACCCATGTGCGGTCCCACGCAGAAGAACGCGGGTCCCACCGAAACCCGATTCAGTCCCACGCAGAAGAACGCGGACCTCCCCAAAAAACCCAGTTCGGTCCCACGCAGAAGAACGCGGGTCCCACCGAGACCCATGTTCGGTCCCGCGCAGAAGAACGCTGGCCCCGCCAAAACCCGGTATGGTCCCACGCAGAAGAACACGGGTTTTACCGAGACCCGGTACGGTCCCACGTAGAAGAATGCGGGTCCCACCGAGACACAGTACGGTCCCACGCAGAAGAACGCGGGCCCCACCGAGACCTGGTACGGCCCCACGCAGAAGAAGAACGCCGGCCCCGCCGAATTTTAGTGCATTCCCACGCAGAAGAATGCGGGCCCCGCCGAAACCCAGTTGCTCCCGCGCAGAAGAACGCGGGCGCCACGTGTGGTCACACAGAAGCCAACGCTTTAAAGGAAAAACGCTATGAGTGACATGCGAAGTTTCCTCGCTGCCGAACAGCTAACTCATCTCTTGAGCTGGTTTAGGTTGCTTAAAAACATGATTTCCGGGGCCAGGTTTGCAAGCCGGATTCCGGTCGCAGGGCGAGCTTCAGCATGGTGGGCCCTGAATGTAATCCACTATAAAACTGAAAGTGTGCGCTTTTTTTTTGGGGGGGGGTTATGAACTCAGCCACCAAGTGTTTGTTGCTATTGCCTCACAGGGAGCGTTGCCAATTCCCCTTCCCAACCTACACCCTACACAAGGCGCGCCGCTACTTCGTCTACACGGAAGGCGGGGGAAGGGCTCCCGAAAGGTAGAACCCCAAACCCTAAACCCTAAGTTTGAGGCTTTCGGCTTCGGCTCCCATGGTGTCCAGGCACTGCTGCGTAAGGACCTTCGGGGTAATGTAGGGGCTACCTAGGTGTATATAAGGTATATATCGGGGTTCTATAGGGGAATCTGATTGAATACTTGGACCCTAAAGTAGCTGCTACGAAAAAATCCTTTCTGTCTGCAGCGGAAAATGAACCGTATGCGGTCGTGTAGGGCTTAGGCTTGGGTTAGTCCCCTAAACCCTAAACCCTGCTATCGGAAGCATCTGATGGCTTCCTTGGCTTCGGGCAGCTTAGGGTTCAGGTTTCCCTAGTTTTGAGATCCTTGCTCTCCCTAAGCCCTAAACCCTAAACCCAAAAACCCCTAAACCCTAAACCCTGAACCCTAAACCCTGAACCCTAAACCCTAAACCCTAAACCCCTCCCCCTCGCAAGGCCGGCAAAGCTTAAAGCTCCTGAATTACTGAGGCCACAACAGAACAATCCAGCACAGCATCAGAATGATGTCTAGAGTTTAGGGTTTAGGGTAGTTTGAGGAGGGGGACGGGGGGGGGACGGGGGGGACGGGGGGGGGACTGGGGGGACGGGGGGGGACGGGGGGGAGGGGGGGGGAGGGAGGGGGGGGAGGGGGGGGGAAAGAACCTATAGCAAACATTTAGTATAGTACAGCATAGATCGCAGTCATGGACGAAAGCGAGGACGAGGAGCCCCGTCTAGCGGGAAAACCTTGTGTGCCCCTGCCTTCAGTGTGTTATGTTGGCAGGACGCTGGGTTGGAGGCGGCGACAGAGAAATTTCAACAGCTTCATGTCCCTGACGCGCAACTGCGCTACAGGTTGGAGGCCGAACTTTTGCAAATGGAATTCTTGAACGGGAAGGCAGCAGGAGTTGAGCAAGCTCCATGTTGCCACGGCTGGCGGCTATGTGCAAAGGAGTTGCGCCGTCGTTGTCGGCAAGCTTGAGTCCATCAGGCCATTGCTGGACAAGGGCCTGAACAAGCTCCATGGTGCCAACTCTGGCGGCTTTGTGCAAAGGAGTCTCGCTTTCGTTGTCGGCAAGCTTGAGTCCATCAACACCCTAAAAACCTAAAACCCTAGAACCCTACAACCCTAACACCCCAACACCCTAAAACCCTAAAACCCAAAACCCCAAAACCCGTGCAATTACCCTCCAATCGCAGGCACCATCGCCTCCTCGGAAAAGGCTTTTAGCATGCCCCTGGCTTGGCTGTAGGGTTTGGGGTTTAGGGTGTAGGGTTTAGGGTTAGGATTTAGGGTTTAGAGTTTGCGCTGCCGTATATAGATACCTGTGCATATGTTTATTTATTTCTGTATGTGTATATGGGCAGAGGTGTTTATAAATAGAGTTTTAGATCTTCAAACATGTATATATACATATATGTAGATAGACACACAAAAGCATATTCGTAGACTTATGGATATACTCACACATGAGTGTGTTAAGGCGCGTATGTGCGTATGCAAGTAGACGTGTGTATACATGCTTGTGCAAGCAACTGCATCGAACCTTTCGGGTCACTTCGAAGTACCACCATAGCATCCCCTCTAGTACTCATGTACCAAAACCCTCAACCCTAAAGCCTAAACTCCAAGGTACTTCAACGTGGCTCGCGGGCCGACAGTGCAGAACATTTGCGAAGTCGGCCGGGCGCCTGGTGTGCGTTTCGCGTCTTACCTGGACGACAGGGGGGACTCGGTACTAAGGCTTGACTGGGGCTTCCCATGCTGAAAGGTACTCTTCGAGACACTAGAACCCAGAGCAAGCCCTTATTGCCCTTTCTTTTGGGGGCTTGGGTTCCCTTACAAGCCCGTTTAACCCAAAAGGGGGTACCCCTTGTTTCATTGCTAGGTTTTACTCTAGGGTCTAGGACAATTTTCGGGCTCTCGGCGGTCGACTCCGGATTTTCCCCGCCTTATACCCTTCAGCAAGCCTTAAACCCAACAAAGACCATGGTCGTGCTGCAGGATTCAGGGTTTAGGGCTTAGGGCTATAAATATAAATTAAACCAATAAAGCCCGAGTTTTCAACCCTACACCAAACCCCATATTAAACCCGAAGTTGAACCCTAAATTATACCCTTCACCGACATGGCAGGGGGATTGGCGCCAAAACCCGAATCCCCAAAGCCACTTGAGCCCCTTCTCAGCCCCCTCCGTCCGTAAATCCGCAGAGCGGCGGTTTGGGGTTTAGGGTTTAGGGTTTAGGGTTTAGGGTTTAGGGTTTAGGGTTTAGGGTTTGGGGTTTAGGGTTTGAGGTTTGGGGTTTAGGGTTTAGGGTTTAGGGACGCAATCCCTCAGTGCTCTTGGGCTAGATTCCCTCGAATTTGTATTCCTGTACATGGGACCTAGCTTTTCTAGGCAACTTAAACAGGCAAGAGTTCCCTTGCCACCCATGGGGACCCTAAACCCTACCGCCCCCCCTTTCCTAACACCCTTGCCTTCAAATTCTGCAAGGCTTCAATGCAGGGCATTCCACGGCGATCTACCTCAACGCCAACCCACAGGAAGCTAGTGGGGAGGGCTTTCACTCGACCCTGGATGTTGGGTTTAGGGTTTACATTTATACTGTCCAAACTCAGCATCCAGATCTATAAAGGCTCCAAGAACTCAGTGTCCTAGTTCACAAAAACCCTCAACCCTAAACCCAAAACCCTAAACCCCAATATTCGGCCCTAAGCCCAAACCCCAAACCCAGGGACCCCTTGTACCGGCCCTTCGAATGCACAAAGAGCTTCTCCGACGGTGACGAACTTCGTGGGAGTCCCTAAGGGAACGCTCTGCAAACCCACTTTAGGGTTTGGGGGTTTAGGGTTTAGGATTTAGGGTTTATATAGGGTTTAGGGTTTCGGGTTTAGGGGCCTAAGGCAGAAGCCTAAACTAGCTACCAAGATCACCAGCGGCAATCACAAATTAAAAAGCATCTAAAATTCCAATTCGGTTTCAATAGGCCCCTCAACCCTAACCCCTAAGCCCCATTTTTATAGACACCTTAGGGTGTGGAGTATCTACCATATTCAATGAAAACAAGATGCCAATTCGGAGCATCCGGTGTCTGCAAGACATTGAAGCGTATGTCCTTGTGTTTAGGGTTTCAGGTTAGGGTTCAGGGTTCGGCTTTAACCTTTGCTTTGACCAGCGTAGTGCTGGGTGGCACAGGTAGGACTAAGATAGGAGTCCGAATAAAACCCCATTCTAATTATTCAGGCCCCTATATTTCCAAGTCATACCGGTCCCAATGTTCACCGGACTGCATGCAACGCCGCTTGGGCCACCATGGATGCAAAGAGGAATGCATTTGAGGAGTCTCTCCCAAGTTGGCCTTAAACCCTACACCCTGACCCCTAAACCCTGAACCCTAAACCCTAAACCCTGAACCCTGAACCCTAAACCCTGTTGTGAGAAAGCCGCAGGCGAAAGTCTACTCCTTTGACATTGGCCAGTTTCCCTACACGCGGGGCAACGCGCAACTGATGCAGGAGCCCCGAAGGCCCTGCCACGGTTTAGGATTTAGGGTTTAGGGTTTAGGGTTTAGGGTTTAGGGCTTAATGTCAACGAAGCTTGGAACTTGGGATGTTCCCCCCTATACTAACAGTCCTGAAGTAGGGACTGTAGTAGGGGTACTACAATCCCTCCCCCTATACTTACAGTCCTTAAATAGGGATTGTAGTAGGGGTACTTACAATCCCGATTAAAAAGACTTTTTTGTCTAAGGGGGAACATCCCAACTTGAAACCTTAAGTCCATTTGCCAAGCCTGCACTCAAACCCAGGCTTCAGGGTTCAGGGCTGAACCTGAACTTAAACCCCAAACCCTAAACCCTTGAGGACTTAGGCTTCAGCGAGCGCGCTTCTGATCACACATCCATTAGGCCCCCTAAAAGAGTCCCCCCCTCCTTATGCTGGATGCCAATGCGGACACGTTTAGGGTTTAGGTTTAGAGTTTAGAGTATGCTGGGTACCAATGCGGAACTTTTTAGACTCTTAGGACACTATCTTTTCGGAGGGGTTCAGAAGTGTCTTCTCCAGCGGCTGCTGGTTCCAGGTGCGGTCTCGCCGCCCGAGAGCCCAGCGAAGTTCCCCTGCCGAGAGCCATGAGGAGGCTCGGGATCATCGGAGAAGACCAAGGGCAGAGGGCCCAGCGCGTTGATGGTACATGGCTGACACTTGCAGATGTCTACCGTGATGCTGCTAGACTGCAGCCTGTATCCGGTAGTGCACTTCAACCTTCTTCTCTGAACTGGGGCTCAAATGGCTTCATTTCCAGCGAGCATGGGTGCAGAAGTCAGCCAAGTTTAGGGTTTCGGGTTTAGGGCATGTTCTTGGTTTCCAACTGCTTACTTCTTGAACACAGGTTTGGAATATTTTTGGGGATGGTTGAGCGGAACACCTAGCATGTACAAGACATAGAAATTTCTCCAAGGAGGGGAACTTTTAATGAACTCCCAAAGTAGTGCAATCCTTCTTATAGGAACCCCGATTTGGGGAAACCCGCCATACAACTTTCCCTACCTGTATTTGCAGAGCGTACAGTCGTTTAGGGTTGTGCAGGCTCTAGACTGTTGAAGTGAAGGGGGTTTAGGGTTTAGGGCCTACCTAAAGGCAACACTCGCAGGTTCATGCATGCTTCTAGTGTAGGAAGCTGCCATCTGCTAATGGACCTTCAAGTAGCCTTTCTGCCGGAATTTTTGTCAGCATCCGGAGTGCACCGAGGACCCTCCCTAGGACCCAGAGTGGGCCCCTTATTCCCTTTTTTTTGGGCTGGGTTCCCTTGTAGCCCCCTTTAAACCAAAAGGGCATCCTTTTTTATTCCTAGGTTACTCCTGGGTCTAGCTCCAGCTACTCTTCTGAGGTAGGGTTTTGGTAGAGTTTGGGCAGGGTTTTCTCGACTCCTTCTCACCTCCGTTTACTTTCGTTGGTTTACGCTCCCTTCAACACCCATTAGAAGAATGGGTTCCTGCCCCAGAGGTTTCTAAAAGGGCTTGTCGAGTACGTGGAGGTGGCGATCTCGGTCTTTTTTTTTTTTTTTGGGGGGGGGGGGGGGGGGGGACCCTGAAGGTCCCAACACCCACCTGGACGACCAAACCCCTAAAACCCTTAACATGCTAAGCCACAACCTTGAGAACGCTGAGCCCTGAATCCTACCCCTCTCCCTCCAACAAGTGTCCCTAAACACTAAACCCTAAACTCTAAACCCTAAACCCTAAACCTTAAGGGTACCCCTTAGAAACCCCAAAATGCCGTATAATCCTTTTAAACAAACCCCCAAGAAAGGTAGCCCATAGTTTCGGAAACCCCATTCAGAGAATTGACCATTGGAGGTTTACGAAATAGGGACCCCTAAAATCGACCCCCAAATAGTGGGATTCCCTTATAAGAAGGACCCCCAATAAGGTACCGATTCCCCTTAAAGAGACCCTAAACCCTAAACCCTAAACCCCAACCCCTAAACCCTAAACCCTAAACCCTGAACCCTGAACCCTAAACCCTAAACCCTAAACCCTAAGTGGTTCCAGGAGCTGTTCCCGGACCGCTTCGAGTACATCAGCGGCCCCTCCGCCGAGACGGTCAAGGCCTTTGCGGAAGAGAGGCCGGCGCTGACAAGGGCTTCCCTAAACCCCCTAAACCCTAAGCCCTAAATCCTAAACCCTCAACCGTAAACCGTAAACCCTAAACCCTAAACCCTAAACCCTAAACCCTAAACCCTAAACCCTAAACCCTAAACCCTAAACCCTAAACCCTAAACCCTAAACCCTAAACCCTAAACCGTCAGCTCCCGGGTGCCGGGAGCAGACAGGCCCGACGTCCGCTGCGACGTCATCAGCGCGCGGGATCCTGGCCAGAAGGGGCTCCGGGTCGGGGTTTAGGGTTTAGGGTTTAGGGTTTAGGGTTTAGGGTTTAGGGCTTAGGGGTTTGGGGGTTGAGGGCTTGGGGTTTAGGGTTTAGGGCTTGGGGTTTGGAGTTTAGGGTGTGGGGTTTAGGGTTTGGAGGGTTTAGGGTATAGGGGTTTGGGGTTTAGGGTTTAGGGTTTGGGGCTTGGGGCTTGGGGCTTGGGGTTTGGGGTTTAGTTAGGGTTGATGGTCTGGTTTTCGAGCCAAAAGTTGACGCTTCATTAGTTTTCAGGGTGTGGCTTTTGATGCAGGGTTGCTGGGTTTATCCTAATCACGCTGGAAGTATCCCCTCAGAGCCTTGGGGTATTATTCTGGGTGGAGGATTGCGGGCTATTCTGAGGGGCTCCTAGCATTTGGGGGTCTATATATTCCGGTCCCCTAATTGCGTAAATCCCCGAATAGGATTGGGTCTACCCTCCCCCCCCCATCCTTCACCCCCAAGCCCCCCTCGTCCCGCAGCTGCTGGACCAGGGAGGGTTCAGGGTTTAGGGTTTAGGGTTCAGGGTTCGGGGTTTAGGGTTTAGGGTTGAGGGTTGAGGGTTTGAAGTCATAGCTTGGCGGCTCTGGAAGATGAAAATGCCACACCGTCTTTGTTTACGGTTCATACGGGATGCAAAAACGAAGCTTAGGGTTTCGGGTTTAGAGTTTAGGGTTTAGGGGTTTAGGATTTATAGGGCTTGAGGGTTTTCAGGTTGTGCGGTTCGGGCTTTAAGGTTTTGTGGCTTGGAATGGGTGGATGCGGGAAACTAGCCCCCAGAAAAGAAGGGGCAACAAAGCGTTCCACGGGCAGGTGCTTGACCATGTCGATCATCTCGCTGAGGAAAACGGACGAGTGAACGTGGCCGTTTTCTGGAATTGGGGCAAGTATCGAAGCGTGGCGTTCGTGGAGCTGCTGGGCGAGCGTCTGGACGATGCCAGGTTATCTGTGCAAATTACACACATGGAGAGATACTGCTGGGATCGTGACCAAGCGTTATTATAGTTTCACTGGTTCCATGGGGGATTCAGGGGTTTAGGGGTTTCGGGTTTATAAGGGTTTAGGGTTTAAGGTTTAGGGTTTAGGGTTTAGCGTTGACCCTGGAGTCCCCCCCCTCCCCTTTCGGCCTCAACACTGAGCTGCAGGTTGATGGGGACCACAGCACCGCAGGCACCCTCGCAGACTTGGAGAACTTCCGCAAGCTCGCATCTTGTAGGACCTTCTGGGAGGGGCATATCTTAGGGTTGAGGGGTTTAGGGTCTAGGGTTTGGGGTTTAGGGTTTAGGGTTTAGGGTTTAGGGTCTATAGGGTGCAGGGGTTTATGGCGGGGTAGGGATTTAGGGGTTCGGGGCTTCTGGGTTTTTAGGGGTTCGGGGCTTACCTTCCAGGAATCCGTCCATGCATGAATGTTACGCAAGCTCGAGGACGGTAGCACCTAGCAACCGATGTGCTGGGACAAAGTTTAGGAATTAGGGTTTAGGGTTTAGGGTTTAGGGTTTAGGGTTTAGGGTTTAGGGTTTAGGGTTTAGGGTTTAGGGTTTAGGGTTTAGGGTTTAGGGCGATAGTCTTGTGGCCAAGAAGCGCGCTTTGAGAGTGCGGTCCAGCAAGACAGGACCAATGCTGCCCGCAGTCCTAATCCCAGAGGCTTCAAAACCCGTTAACTAAGGAATATACCTTAAATCATATTAGGGGTTCCTATATCTTTTACCGGGTATGGTTTTGGAGTCTCTGGGATAAAGCAGACGCGCCCACTTTGCCAGATACTCTGGCATTTTCGAGTTGTTGTTCTGCCGAGTCTTCGGTGGACCCGGGCATTGAGAAAGCCCTAGACCCGAAAACCCTGAAGCCCTAAACCCAAATCCCTGCAACCCTAGAACCCTAAACCCCTAAAAACCCTAAGCCTCTCTAAACCCCTCAAACCCTAAACCCCTACAACCCTAAAAACTCTAAACGCCTAAACCTCTACACCCCTAAAACCCTCAAAACCTACCCCCAAAGCGTCTACAGCTTCAAGCCTCCCACCTTGACGGGTTTAGGCATGAGCTTGCATTTTTTGCGACTTCCTGTTGTTGGAGCACGAATGCTAGGCCAGAGCTAGAAAAATTTCTTCCGGGTTACATGTAAAGATCACCCCCGACTTATAAAGTTCTAAACCCTCCAAGCTCGGGGTGTAGGGTTTTGGGTTTGGTGTTTCGGGTTTCGGGATTAGGGTTTAGGGTTTAGGGCAGCTTCTTTGAGGAACTGGGTCTTGATGGACGACGCGGGCTGGAACTCCACGAACAGCGCCTGGCAGATGGCCAAAGATCTGGGCATCCTGACTCAGGCGATTTTTAGGGTTTTCGGGTTTAGGGATTAGGGTTCAGGGATCCTGACTCAGGCGATTTGGGGTTTCTCAAGGGATTAACACTCGTACACAAGGTTTTGCCCCTGAAGGTTCTTAGGGTTTTAGGGCTTAGGGCTTTAGGGTTTTAGGGCTTAGGGTTTAGGGTTTTTGGGTTTTTGGTTTTTTGGGTTTTAGGGATTTGGGTTTTAGGGTTTTAGGGGTTTAGGGTTTTAGGGTTTTGGGGTTTTGGGGTTTTGGGGCTTTGGGGTTTTAGGGTTTTCTTCCTGGGGGGCGGGGGGGGGGGGGGGGGATGCAGGCGAAGAAGCCCTTAAGCCTTGAACCTTACACCATGTAATCTTAAGCTGTATAGCCTCAAATATACACCTTATAACCTTGCAATCTTAAACATAGTTATCTTCAAGCTTGAACCTTAAGTTTTTGCAAGTTGTCGATCAGTTGGGTCTTGGAAGCACGCGGAAGTCCTACCCTTCGTAAGCCTCTAAAAAGCCCTTGAGAACCCCTGACCCTAAACCCTAAACCCTAAACCCTGAAACAACCCCCCAAGCCATTCGCGCTGAGTCGCCAGGTGGAGTGTTTCGCGGACATGAACCCCAGGCGGGGCGCAGAGCACACCTCGAGCATCACTACTCATTGCTTAAGAACCGCCCAAGAGATGGAAAGTAATCCTCCTCATAAGGGCAATATAGGGATTATAGTCTCTTTTTTTTGGGGGGGGGGGGGGGGTTCTTAAGCAAATGGTAGAAGCATGGGTGGTTCGGAAAATGTGTTTGGATCCTAAAACACTTAAACAACTCTCCTTACAATCCACAACGAATTACTCCCGTTTTTCGGGTCCCTCAGAAAAGGGGTTGACGAAGAACCTACCGTAGGGCATGAGGAAGCAAGGGGAGAGGGGGTATAAGGGCTCCATATTCCAAAAAACCTGGGCCTAACAAATCCCAAAGAAGCCTTAGTAAGCGCTAATTCGGGGAAATGTGGAGCCCTTACACTCCCCTCCCTTCCACCCGCTTGGTTCCTTGTGTTTCTAGGGCTCGCGATTTCCGCGCAGCGCTCAGAGATTGAAGCCCCCTAGGCCCGAGAAGCCCGGAGCGCGAAACCCGAAGCCCCAAACTGAACCCTGGCTCAGGGTGTACGGGCTTAATTCGGGGTTTTGGGGTTCTGGAGTTCTGGGGTAGGGGTTTAGAGTTTAGGGGGTTTAGGGGGTTTAGGGGTTTAGGGGCTTTCGGGGTTTAGGGGTTTGGGGGTTTAGGGGGTTTAGTGGTTTAGTGGTTTAAGGTTATTACAGGCCAGACTACCAGTTCATGGAGTACCCGGAGAATCGGTCTTGGTGCCCGACTCTCAGAGCAAAGAGGTCTGCGGCAGCTGGGTCAGTGGAGAGGTTCGACTGTTGGTATTGCTCCCTGTAAGGTTCGGGGTTTAGGGTTTAGGGTTTAGGGCTTGAGGGTTTGGAGGATTTGAGCATTCAGGCCAGGGTTTAAGGTCTGTGATGCTGTGGTTTAGTATCAGTGGCTTTTAGGGGTGGGCTTCTGGGTCTGGTGGTGGACTGTAGCCCGTACCAAACTTAAGCCGTTAAGCCCGAAACCCTAAACCGAAGCTCCTACAGCGTCCATCCCGAGCCCTAAACCCTAAACCCTAAACCCTAAACCCTAAAAACTAAAAACCCTGAACCCTAAACCCTAAACCCTCAAAGGTTTGGGATTCTTCAACGTCCACGACTTGGACGAGACCTGCCCGGTGTGGTTCGAGGAGAGCCCGAATACCGTAGGGGCCCTGGCCTCCCCTCTCAACCCTGGAATGTCATGTAGGGTTTAGGGTTTAGGGGGGGTTTAGGGTCTGGGATGTAGGGTTTAGGGTGCAGGGTTTAGGGAGTTTAGGGTGCAGAGTTTGGGATGTCGGGCTTAGGGTTTGGGGTTTTGGGGTTTAGGTTTTGGGATTTGGGGTTTAGGGTTTGGGATTTAGGGGGAGTAGGGTTTCCGCTGAAGGCCCGTACGAAACCCCTAAACACCAAACTCGAAACTCTGAACCCCAGACCTTAAACCCCTTAACCCGCGCCCTTCCACCCCGAAGCCTTCAGCCCCAAACCCTAACCAAAAGCCTTAGACCCTCAACCCTCAACCCTCAACCCTCAACCCTCCACCCTCCACCCTCCACCCTCCACCCTCAACCCTCAACCCTCAACCCTCAACCCTCAACCCTCAGCCCTCAGCCCTCAGCCCTCAGCCCTCAACCCTCAACCCTCAACCCTAACCCTCAAACCCTCAAACCCTCAACCCTCAACCCTCAGCCCTCAACCCCCAACCCTCAACCCCAAACCGTGCCCAAGCTTGTGGCATTCCTTTCATTGGGAGACCACCATACTGCCGAACCACCAGCAGCACCGCTAGGGCTTTGGATTTAGGATTGTCTGTGTTTTAACTCACCATGGAGCGTTTTTAGGCAGATTCCCAGAAATGTTGGCCCTCCCAGGTTGATTTGGGGAGATTTGGGTACACACGGGTTCATTAGTAGCTGTAATTAGGGTCGCCTGCCTTAGTTAAGGTACTGGTAACCCTAGTTACAAGGCATAAAATAACACCCAATGCCCCAGACTCTAACACACCCGATCACCCTGAGAACCTAAATCCAGAACCCTAAACTCTAAACCTTAAACCCTAAACCCTAAACCCTAAACCCCAGACCCTAAACCCTAAACCCTAAACCCTAAACCCTAAACCCTAAACCCTAAACCCTAAACCCCAAACCCTAAACCCTAAACCCTAAACCCTAAACCCTAAACCCTAACCCTAAACCCTAAAGCCCATCAGCCCAGAAGCGGACCTTCGTGCGGCCCATTGAGATATGAGAGTCCGGCGTGCCGCAGTGGACGAAAGCATCCTGCTCTGCTTTCGGGTTTGGGGTTTAGGGTTTTGGGTTTAGGGTTTTGGGTTTACGATTTGGCTTTTTGGGAGAGAGGACAGTTTACGTGCTGCAAGTTCAGCAGGGTATACCTAGGACCCAGAGTAGGCCCTTATTCCCTTGTTTCAGGGCTCGGGTGCGCTTGCAACCCCCTTTAAACCAAAAAGGGCACCCTTTTTGTTCCTAGGTTACTCCGGGGTCCACTAGGTACTGCAAGTTCAGCAGGGTATACGGTTAACCCTAAACCCTAAACCCTAAACGACAAGTCAGAAGGGCTGGCGCCTGGGGTCAGTGAGGATTGAGGGTTTCAAGGGACTAAAGGAGGAACCCTTACAAGGGACCTTAGGGGTCATTTGGGGTTATTTAGGGGCCACTTAGGTAGGGGCTCTAAAATGTACATAGTTATATATATATATATATATGTATACATATATAGGGGTTATATAGGGGAATGAGATTAAGGGTCTCTTCTACAGGTCCCTCCTTATACCTTTTAAATTAAGGGTTAAGAGTTGGGGCTCAGGCTTCCGCTACTTGATGGTGAGGGTCAGCTATAAGCGGGGACGATGTTAGTCACAAGGTCACGCGGATGTGCTTTGCCTTGACGCCACACAGCCCGCCTGCCTGGGTGTAGCAGTTAAAAGGGCGGCATAAGCATCGATCCCGTCACGTCATACACCTTGAACTTAACCAAACCCTAAACCCTCACCCCTAAAAGCCTCAATTCCAAAGACTATAGCTATAGCTTTGAACCAGAAGCTTTCGACTCCCCACACACCCACATGGGGGTTTACCAAAGTAGGGGACCCCTAAAATAGCCACCCAAATAGTAGGATCCCCTTATAATCAGGAACCCCAAAAGGTACCCCGAATATCGTAAGCCCCCACATGAAATGCTCGAGCCTCCTCGAGTCTGGATGTCCCCGCCTCTCTGACAGGGCTTCGCCCTTCCTTGAAGGAGTCTTCGGGTGCCGCAGCCGTAGCTCATGCAGGCATGTTGTAGGCTTCCGCATGGCAGCTCGCGTCAGTTAGGGCTTAGGGTTTAGGGTTTAGGGTTTAGGGTTTAGGGTTTAGGGTTTAGGGTTTACGCTCTAGGGGTTGGTGATCGACATGGACGTTTTTTCACAGCCTACACATGTCAGCATCCATAGCTGCTCGACGTATACATTCCCATCTTCTGCATACGGACACACCTTGTGACAACCTGGCACATACATGCATACGTAGACGAGCACATGATCATATGCAATTTCGCAACCTTGGCTCCACGTGTATACCATATAGCTATACGCCTTATATAGCCCCTATATACCTAAGTAGCCCCTAAATAAGATAACCGCCCCAAAGAACCCCGAAGGTCCCATACAAGATCTGACAAGCATTCCCAGCGTGAAAACAGCACGGCTTCGAGTGATCCCCGTGCCAGCAGTGGCTGCAGCTGTTGAGGGCCACCAGCGCTGTCTGGCCTGGCGCACGGCAATAAAGGGGTTCGGAAGGATTTCTGAAATGATTCCCTTAGGGTCCCTGTATAGGTATACTATAATAACCCCCCTAAACAGAGCATATGACAGAATGTAGCGGGTCGGAATAATTACTAGTGGGATTCCCTTGTGGCCCCTTTATAAATACACAAAAAATAACACCCCAAAACCTCTTTCTACTGATTCAGGCCCCTATATTATGTTTGCTACTATTATTTAGGGTTTAGGGTTTAGGTTTTTGGGGTGTTATGTTCACTCATGTCTTGCACTTGTGGAGACAAGATGCATCATACGGCGATACAAAAACCCCAGGTTTCCGCGCCAGCTTCCAACCTTGGCCTCCCCTTAGATCCAGCTGAGTCTCTTAGGGTTTAGGGTTTAGGGTTCAGGGTTTAGGGTTTAGGGTTTAGGGTTTACGAACCTGGACAAGTAGCTTTGTGCAGGGTCTTAACCTTGTTCTGAGTGGTCGCCCACCTACCCACCCACCCACCCACCCACCCAAGGTATCACCCCACCGTCCCCTTCTGTGGTTGGGGTGCGGGGGGGTTCAGATTTGGGGTTTAGGGCTCAGGGTGCACAGGTTTGAGGGTTTTAGGGGTTTAGTGTTAAGGGTTTTCGAGGTTTTGTGGCTTCGCGTAGGGTTGTTAAAGGGTTTTGAGGGTTGGTTTAGTTTGCAGGTTTTAGGGCTTAGGGTTTTAGAGCTTTTGGATCTAGCCCATAGGGTTTCAAGGTTTGAAGTATGGGGTTTTGACTTAGCGTGAAAATTTAAAGGGGGGAGGGGCGGGGGGGGGGGGGGGGGGGGCGGGGAGGAAGGGAGGGAAGTGGGGGGAGGGGAAAGAATAACGTGGGGGAGGGGGACTGCTCTATATATATATATATATATATATAGATATACACATATTTGTTTACATTTGTTGCGTTTTGTTTTTCGGGAGGGGGGAGAGGGGGGGGGGGGGCAGCCCCACCCCCCCTCCCCTTACTGTAAGGAGCAAACGGATCAGACCCTCCCTAAACCCTAAGCCCTATAGCCTCTAAACCCTAAACCCTTATTAAACCCTACTAAACCCTAAAAACACCCATATCAAAGCCCCTTAGACCCAAAACATGGGCTACTCTCAACACCCCCCTAAACCCTAAACCCTATAACCTCTAAACCCTAAGCCCCAAAAGCCTCCATGAAAATGAAGAACCCTAAACCCTAAATCCTATAACCTCTAAACTTCTAAACCTCTAAACCCTAAACCCTAAACCCTAAACCCCCCCTTTAAGAACCCTCGCTCCCAGGTTGCCAACACGTGGCCTGGATGCCCTCGCCGCCCGCCCCAAGAGTCTCCGGCTGAAACTTTGCACCACCGGGGCACATCCTTTCTGGAGTTTAGGGTTTAGGGTATAGGGTTTGGGGTTAGGGGTTTAGGGGTTTAGGGTTTAGGGTTCAGGGTTTAGGGTTTAGGGTTCAGGTTTAGGGTTTAGGGTTTAGGGTTTAGGGTTTAGGGTTTAGGGTTTAGGGTTTAGGGTTTAGGGTTTAGGGTTTAGGGTTTAGGGTTTAGGGTTTAGGGCTAGGGCACACGACCCCAAAACCCCCCAAAACGCCCAGACGCCAAGAACCCGACGTCCAAACCCCTAAACTCAATGTTTTGGGGTTGATCTAAACCCTAAACCCTAAACCCTAAACCCTAAACCCTAAACCCTAAACCCTAAAAGGAGTCGGGCCCATGGAGTTGAGGTTTGGGATCCGGAAGCCTCTCAGCTCCTAGCCCCCCCCCCAACCTGAAGTGTTGGCAGAAAGTACGGCCCCAGGCGCGTTTCAGGGTTTAGGGTTTTAGGGGTTTAGGGTTTTGGGTTTAGAGTCTACTTGGGTCCTTTTACGGACCGCGGACCGGGGGCAGGGGGAGGGGAGGGGGGGATTTAGGGTTTAGGGTGTAGGGTGTAGGGTTTAGGATTTAGTGTTTAGGGTTTGTAGTAGTAAGGTGGGGTTTAGGATACGCCTGTGATCCTGCTAGAGCACTGACACCTGGTGAGAGTCTACCATT